CCTAGAGACTAGATCTAGGAAATGCTACTTATACTATAAGACTAACGGTATTTAGAATACAAATAGCTTGCCTTATCTACGGCCTGAAGATAGTAGTATTAACGAGCTAGACGGAGAAGGAGAAGTTTTATGCTCGTCTATAAGGACCTCTGGAAGGCTCTAGGAATATCAAAATATTAGAATATCCTAAAAACAATAACGCTATCGCTCCTACGAGTGTTTTAGAGTAATATAGGAATCCTTAGACTCTACGTTTCGTAACTAAAGTTGTACTCTACTATTTACTTATAAGAGTACTAGTATAGGTAACGTTAAGGTTAAATATACTATAGAGTGAAGATAATGATTCTGACCAATAGTAGTATAAGAACTAGCTAGGACTTATATCTATACCACTAAGCACTAAAAAGGGCAAAATTTCTAAATAGTAGGAGGCTAAGTTTGCCTAAAGCATCCTTCTGCCGACTTCAAGTATTATTCAACCTTAAGTATTAATGTAGCGTCTCGTAAGTTACGACCGCGCCAGCAATACTATAATATTAATATATCTTTAGGAAAGTAGAATATTGAAAGAGCTGCAGTAATAATATAATAAAAGAATATAATACTATTCCTATATATAATAATACGGAGTTAGGCATTTAGTTATAAGCTGAAATACGTTTTCAGCTATCTTCGCCTATATTACCTACTCTAAGTAAGAGTATCTCTTCGTCGCTTAGTTAGCTCGGCTCTTAGTAAATCGCTATTCCTATAGTATAAATCGTGCTATCGTAGTACCTTGCTACGAGCGTAACGGTATAGCGATATATATACCGTTGCTATCGTTGTCTCCGTCGCCTTCTATAGAGTAGGCTCTATCGCTAGTATTCTACCTCTTACTCTACTCTATATCTTACTCTACTCTATATCTAACGCTAGCGCTAATCGAACGCTAGCGCGAATCGCTTCTTTCTAACTTTCTATCTATAATTTTCAAACTCTACCTATAGTATTGTGTTATACTGTTAAAGCTTTACGAGTAATATCCCCTTGTCCTTATCTAGGTAGCCTATCGCGGGAAGATCGCCCTCTAGATATATACTATAGAGCCAGTACCTTACTATCGTAGGTTTATATATTAGCTAAAGCAGAATTTATTACGCCGCCTAGGCTCTCTAGTACTACTACTATACTAATTTAAGGAAACATCTATTATAAGTTTGTAAAGATTTATACTGAATATATAACTAGCAAGACTCCGACTAATTAGATAATAGTAATAGTGTGCAATAAGTATTTCTTCTATATATATATATATATAGATACAACAACAGTAGGCTCGAAGATATATTCTTCGCCTATCGAGAGTTTATCGCTATAAGGACTAATATAGGCAAGAGTTAAGGGATAGGACGATCTTAAAGGACAATTCGGAATGACTAAGCACGTGTAGTAGGCATCCAGAATAACTAAGCCTCGGCGCGAATTAACGTTAGCTCCGGCTAAACATTACTTACTACTACTACTAATATATATATGTTAACTACCTATATAAAGCACTATTTAATACTATATAATCTACTACTTTACGACCTACAAAACGCGTTTAACGACCCCTAGCCCCGTTACTTTCGACTATACGTCCGTTACCGGACGCTAAGCCGTTATTGTCGACGTTACCTAACCCTAAGCCGTTAGGTTACTATATAATACTATATATAATACCGCGTCTACGGCCGCGTCTACAGCTACGTCTACGGCCGCGTCTACAGCCGCGTCTACGGCTATGTACTAGCTTAGTAGTATTAACCTCTACTAACTTATTACTTTCAGCTTCTATAGTACGTCGGCTATAATAGTATACTACTAAGCCGCGAATTCGGAGCGTAACGTAATAGTAGTAGCCTTCTTGGCTAATACTACATCTTTACTAGCTACCTCTATACTCGTTATAAGCCTATTAGTTGTCTGATTACTATGCTTTGGTAACTATAGTAGTAGTAGATACTAAGCTAGCTTTGTAGGTACTATAAATAGAATCGCTTCTAGCTTCGAATAGTTGCTTTAAGTAGCCTATAGGCCGGTTAAATAGACGACTTCAAACGCTTCGAGCTTGTCTATATAGGAATTATAGTCTATAGCTCGTAGTAATATTTTAGTTCCGTCTTCTACTCGGTAGTATAGCCTAGTTTACAAGCTCGCGTATATCTTAGCGCGTCGATTTGTACAGTCGATTCTATCGGTACGGTCGATTTATTAGCATTAGTAGCTATAATAGTAGCTTAGCGTACTTTACTATTAGCTACCTCGGTATATACGGTATATATAGTACCTCTATTAATATACTTATAAATATTCTAAGCGGTATACTATTAGCAGAATTGCTAAATATAGCGCTAGAATAGTAGTTCCGGAATAGCTACGACAAGGCTAGCGCTAGTATCGGATATAATAACCTTGTTAAGCTTATAGCTACGTAGATAGTTGTTAAATACCGCTAGTAGTATAAACAACTAGTCCTCCTTACTCTCTAACTCTAATATGTCCTACGGGCCTGCCTGTTAGTAGCACGGTGTCAGCCAATTTTCTATATACCTATATACGCGCGCGTACGCGCGTACGCTCTCTGTTTCTTCTCTCTGTCTCTTCTCTCTGTCTCTTTTCTCTGTCTCTTCTTTTTGTCTCTTCTCTCTATCTCTTCTCCTTTCTAGGCTTCTTCCTCTTTGTCATTCTCTTCTCTTTGTTCTTCTTTGCTCAATTTTAGGCAGAGTAGCCCGTAGGGACAGAGAGGTAGCCCGCCTGCAGCGGGCTTTTTTTTTTTTTCTTTTTTTTTAAGGTAGTAACGTATTAGGCCTAGTGAATTTAGCGCGCCCTACCGCCAAAGTTCGCGCTAATCAGAGTGTGCGATTTCGAGTCGATTTCTCTAGCTAGAGAGTCTATCCCCAATTTGGTAGGCCTATACTCCTCCCTTTACCTAACCTATACTACGCTTTAGAAGGTTCGGAGGTCGTTCTATACCAATTAGTAAATAGTATATCGGAAACGAACGTCCGGTATTAGTAACCCCTATAAATAAGCCGAGTAATAGGCCGGCGCAGTTAGTACTAAATATAGTATTGATCTAAAAGCTAAAATCTAGTACAAAGCGTATATTAAAGTACACTATATATAGCTACTAATATACTAACTACTTAAATAATACCTATATAGTACTGCTAGTCTATAGATTAGTAGTAAATAACTAATAGCCCTTATATTCAAATCCGAGTAGAATAAGTATACCAAGCAGCGTATTAATAATAGTCTCGGCGTTACTAGCACTACGGAAGGTATTACCCTTAGCTAGGTTATAGTAACGCTTACGATTAAGTTAGAGTTTGTATAGTATAAGCTATTAGTATATAAAACTATATTACTTGTTTATAAGTCGATATTACGCAGCCTATACTATAGCTTTACTATAGCTAGGTATCTATATCTCGTAGCTAGTATAAACGGAAGGATTTAGCGCTAATTTGTATATATAGTCGAGTAAATTAACAATTAGCTACTACTGTTTGACTGTCGTACCTTACCTTACTTATATATAACCTAGTTAGTAGTTCTAACTATATACCCGCTATCGTACGTTTCTCGCGTTACGAACGCGTAGGGTAAGTAATTTGTCGTCGCTATCGCCTATATAATCGTCGAAGCTGTCGTTATTTCTAGTAATAGTTCTATAGTAAATATACTTATATATAGCTCGGTTTATATTACTAGACATATAGACAACCGCAAATCCTTTACTGAAAGCGTAATCCTATAGCCTAGCCTTATAATAGTCCGGATTTCGGAATATCTCGCCGGTATATAGATACTTATAATAGTATAGATCTATAGTATCGATAAACTCGTAGACAGCTAGTATATAGCTCTCGGTAAGTAGTAAATACGGAATCTACGTCGGATAGGGCCGTAGTACTAGCAGTTCTATATAGAAGACTAATAGTAAGTAAATCTTAACCTTCTTACCGCTATGTCCTAAGCACTAGTGCCTATATAGGGACAAAGAGGAAAATCTACTTTATAAGCAATAGTAGCAGTAGCGCTAGCGCTAGTACCTATACTAGTACCTATATACTACCTAATACTTAACGTATTTATTAAAAAGCAGTCTTAATTCGCTACTATATAATAGTACTACTAGCGCGTAGACGTAGTAGCTATACTAGATATATACAAGGAATAGATAGAAACTAAGGCGTATAGCCGATAGCTATACCTATATATATCTCTATAAGGGCGATTAACTAGGCCTCTACAATTAGTAGAAGAGATAGACTATAATAAGAGTACTAAGTAGTAAGAAGAGCGATAATAAGACTAGTAGTAATAGCAATAGTAAGAGTTACTAGTAATAGCTATAGCAAATTCGAGGTAGATAGTAAGGACAAAAATACTATAGAGCTAGTAATACCTTTGTACTTGTACTATTGTATTAGTATACTATAATCCTAGCTATTACTATAGTAGTAGATATATTATACCTATAAGCCTATATTATATATACCATATTATATATAAGTGCTTATATGCTCTTAGAACTAACTAGGAGTACCTTAGAGAAGAGATAATTTATTATTAGTATCCTAAAAAATTGTATAGCTTTTTAGGACTTTATACTTTAGAATATACTTAAAATATATAGAAGAAAAGTTATTAGCTTATATATAGCTAGCTAGAAAAGATTTTTGTCTGTCTAGTAGTTTATATAATAGTTTATCTAAGAGGCGGTTATCTAGTTATCTAGCAGGTTATATTACTTGCTTAAGTAAATATTACATAACTATAAAGGTTGGATAAGTCGCTTATATAGCTTGATTATATAATTCTTTTTAGTATTACCTAATTCATTTAAGACGTTGCTTTAGAGGCGACTGTACATAAGCTTAGAAAAGCTTATAATCTTGATAAGCTTTTTTTTAAACGACGTAAATAATATCGGTTAGGTCTTTTAATACGTTGTTTATATATCCTTAGAACGTAACCGGAGCGTTTATAAGCCTAAAGGATCTAATAGTATACTTAAAGTAGCTATATCTAGTTCAGAATACCGTCTTCTACTTATTACCTTCTTTAACTCTAAGTCGGTAGTATATATCTCTTATATCTAGTTTAGTAAAGAGCTTTGCTTTAGATAACTAGTCTAGAGATTCCCAAATTAGTAGTAGAGGATTTCTATTTTTAACTATAATAGCGTTTACACTATAGTAATCTATATAGAGCTAGAGGCTTCTATCCTTTCTCTTTGTAGAAAAGATACCTACGCCTACTAGGGAGCGGGAAGGCCCAATCTAGCCCCTTCCTAAGTATTCTTTAAGGTACTTTCTACTTAGCGTTTATTAGACTATTTACGTCCGTTTCTCTTCTTCTGAGCGAGTGTCTTAGACCGCTAGGGCTTAGCCGTTTAAGGTCTTGTACCTTACCGATACCTTCTAGTCTAGAGTATAGGCTGTATAGCCTATCTCTTTAGCTACTACCCTATCTAGGAAGTTTATCTAAGTAGTATAATTTACTAGAGTATAAACCTTTCTAGGTCCGTTTAGCCCCTTCAGGTTTACTTTAACCTATATTAAATCGTATAGTCCTAGTTTAGCTATTTAGCGGCCGTATAGCTCTACGTTACTCCTCTAAGTACGTTACTTATCCTACTACCTAGAGTACTAAGGGGCGGAGCTATCTTTCAGGAAGCCCTTATTCTCCTAGCTAGCCTTATTAGAGTAACTAGCCTTTTATAGCCCGTTTTGCTATATCTATAGTACCTAAGTAGTAGTCTAGCGTCTCTAGGCCGGCTTAGTCGTCCTAATAATAGGGGCTAGCCTACATTAGAGTAACTTTAGGACCTCTTTGTATAGTTAGTACTTTCGCTAGTTATTTCCGACTGTCTACGTGTATTATCGTATTTGTCTCTACTCCAATTGTCTCTTTTGGCCTAGATAGCCTACTAATAGATACTAGCCGCTTCTACTAAGGCTATAATATTAGGCAAAGTAGTAAGGTCAATATTAATACGATATTTAATCCTTCTATTTAAGGTACTTTTAAATTCTACAATCTTAGTCTGTTCGTCTTCTATATCTAACTCGTTCTAGTATTCCTTTAGATCCGTTAAGATCTTGGTTAGAGTCTAAAGGTTCTGTTTAGTAGATTTAATTACGTCGTATAAAATTTGTTGTCGTTTCAGAGTATACCTATTATACTAAGTATATATCTAGTACAGCGTCTACGTACATCGGAGTTGGATTCGGCTAAACCGTAGGCTCCGCGGCATATAGTACGTACCCCGACTAATCCGAATATAGTAAGACTAGTCTCCTCGGCCTACAATATAGCGAAAATTACCCGGCTTTTTTCTAATGATTTGTTGCTAATAGTTCGTTATTTTTACTATTTACTTAGTAGATATTCAATAGTATACTCGCAGAGTAGAGAGAAAGGAAGTAGGTTTGTAAGAGATAGGAGAAATAGTAGTTTTAATAGAATCTAATAGATTGGATTAATCTTTTAGTAATATACGTACAGTAGATAGGTGTATTTCGATCCTCGACTGTAGTTAGATAAGAGCTATAATCTTAAAGACTAATATAGAGTATATATAATAGCTAATTAGGAGGTAGACAAGACAGTATATCCAACTATTATTAAGTTAGCTCGTTTCCTTAATACCTCCCCGCCGCAGTACTCTACTAGGTACTAGTAGCTATTACTATAGTAATACCTACTATACTATCTGCGGTAGAAGACGTAGCTATTCTAGTGTCGATCTTAGCTATAGCTACGTTCTACTCTCTTAGTAGCGATAGCTAGTATTACTAGAGATTTTCCGCCCTCCTCTAGTATTATTTATACGTAGTAAGCTAATTAAGCAGATAGAAGAGAGCCGTAATACTCGAGAGTAGCTCGTAGTACTAGATAAGACTCGTATACAACGCAGTTAAGGGACAGTAAGTAAATACCTAGTATAGAGGTAACTAAGTAATATAGTACTAATAGTAAGAAGGTAGCTACTCTATCTACTAATAGTAGATTCTTACCGTCGCTAGCGCTAAGTAGAGAATCTACCTCTAGCTTTGCTATACTACTACCGATATAGTAGCCTCTACCCCGGCGCTCTAGTCTTAATCTAACTACTAATATACTACGCGTATAGGGGTCGTCGTTATAGGATGTACTACTAGGTAGTTAGTAGCTACTTAGGTTGAATTAGCGACGACTGCCTTAGCTATATAGACCGCTTCTACATTAGTACGCTAGAGTACTAAACTCTTAACTAGTTACTCGCTATACCTCTCTAATACCGAGCCGTTAATAGCAAACTCTACCTCCTATATACGAAGAATCGTAGGCTATAGTACTTAAACAGCGAGCTGCCGTAGCTAAGAACAATGTATCGGTTCGGGTATTAGATATCACTAGAGTAAGCGATAACGACGATAGTCCTCCTACTTTACTAACGCTACGGTTAACGCCGCGAGCTAAGCGACTCTTATTAGCCTACTTACAATAGTCCTTTGTTAACCTCTCTATACCCGATCCGGCGAGCGATATACCTTTAATAGCTATATATTCATCTCTCCTGTCTACTTACTATACACTCTACACTATACTATACTATACTATACTACACTACACTATACTACACTATACTATACTATATACTATATACTATATACTATATACTATATACTATATACTATATACTATATACTATATACTATATACTATATACTATATACTATATACTATATACTATATACTATATACTATATACTATATACTATATACCATATATACTATACTATAGCCGATATACTTGTCTATATAGTGCGTACAGCAATAGTACTAGTCTAATACAATAACGACTGTCTAACGTAGCTAGTAACGATTAGGCTACTAAAAGATTATATTAATAATCTACCGGCTATACCTATCTATATTATTACTTCAAGTATACTTTGTTTCAAGAATACTAACGATCGCCGACGATATAGAGAAATACCTACTATATCTGTATAGACAGTAATAAGGCCTATACTACAGCATCTATTAGTTAATATCCTACGGCTCTTCCTCTACGCTAGCTAGTATCAGATAACTAGTATAGCTAATACTACTAATTAATAGTACTATATACTAGTTATAAAGCTTAAACAGTATTAGTATATCTATACTACTAGTAGAGTTAATAAGGAAGCTATAATATTAGGGGTTATACGGATTATTAATCTTCGAGGAATAGCTATAGTCTAATTCCTACTAAGAAGCTATTAATATAGATAGAGAGCAACTGTTTACGTTAGAAATAGGGGAAGTAGACGGTGTATTGCAGATTTATTAGAGGTAGTAGCTAATATTTTGGAGGCTACGGTTATCTATAGACTTGTAGGCAGCGAGATTCTTGATTATATAATGCAGGGAAGGACAGCAGTTAATATCTCTCTATAGAGAGATATCAGAGAGTATATATACAGCCCGTATATAGTGAAGTCTATCTAAGTCACGTCTATTAGATAAAATACCTATACACACACTAGCTGACTACAGTATAGTTAGGAGTTAAATCTACCGTTCGGTTATGCATTATGCTTGTCGATTTAGTACAATCCAACTCGTAGGAGCTGTAATAGAGATTAATCTATAGATAAGAACTATAGTAACGATATAGTTGTCGCTACGCCTTTACGCTCGTATAACGTATTAGAAGACTACAATTTAGGCTATAGGAATAGCCGAGCTAATGAGGAGGCTAAGAGATACTCTTACGTAATATAGGCAAAGATAGTTACAAACGCGTTTTTAGCGTAGAACTAAAAAGCTCGAATTTAGGCTACCTCTTATTAGTAGTAATATAACTATATACGGTATAGTAGTAGTATTCTTTTGGTATATTACTACTGTAGCTATTCTAAGCGTCCGCTATACCGATATTGTATTAGTATAGTAAATAGTAATTGTAACTTAGACAATCTTAGTACCTATTGGCAGAGTCGCTTTAGGTAGATAGGATCTATAGTAGCGACTAGCTCTTACTTAGCCTAATACAGAAGAACGTCTATTTGCTAAATAGCTAGAAACGTACCTATCCTATATTTAGCGTTCCTCTCTCTATACCCCTATAGCCTTCTAGAAATTAAGTAACTATATAATCAATATGTTACCTACTACGAATATACTAGTTGTATTATAAAGTATAAAGACGGCTATTTTGTTAGCTATCTACACTAGCGATACGTTATAGTTAATACCGAGAGAGATATATATAGACTAAGACCGTTGGATAGTTCTTTATTAAGCTTAGCCCTCAATATTAAATAACTACTTTAGAGGATATTAAAGCTGTATTTGAAGCGTCTAGAAAGCTAAAAGTACGTTGATTTATAGTATTATCTACTAATTGGCCTATTATCTACTTAATAATCAAGGCTATAAATAAGATAATTAGTATAAGAAGTATACTTTCTTACCCTTAGTCGATAGCTTTAGAGGTTTTCTAGATAGTTAGGACCCCGCTTAATTGCTTTTTAATATTGATAGACGAGCTAGAACTAGTAAGTTATACGTTATTAACCTTATATCCGCTTATCTCTAGAGTATAGCTAGATTTCGTAGAAACCTAGTCCTCCGCCTAGTATTAACTAGCGTCGCTACTTATACTATATATATATAATTGAACCTAAACTTCTAAGAACTATTCGTTTCTAAACTTTAGGCTATTTAGGCTAATTAGGCTATTTGACCTAAGCTATCCGGTATCTAGTACCGTACTATTAACAAGAAGTCTAGGATTAGTCTTACCTAGCTTAGCTCCTAGGTACGTAGTAATCTACTCGGTATAAATATCGTCCTTCTTAGTAGCTTTTTTGAATTACTACCTATAGCTAGCCTCCTATTATTTATTACTAATCTAGAGTATACTATAGATATTAGTAGCTATAACACCTACTACGCCTTTAACTAGACTATTGAATTGATAAGGCTTATATCTTAGCAGGGCAATTTATAATCGGTAGAGCCCTAAAAGGACTACTTAGTAATCGACTAGACCCTAACCACGCTTACTTCGGAAGGGAAGGAGGTTATGCACTACTCATTAGTATATATATTAGTAAATCTATACTCCTATCTTTTAACAACAGCTTGCTATCAGAGCTTAAGTATCATTCAAGATTTGATATATTAATTACCTAGAGAATTATATTCTCTAGAATAAGAAGTAGTTCAAGTCAGACCTCTAGAGATTTGCTATTGATAATATAGCCTAATACAATCGGGCAAATCTAGTAGAACTAAGAAAGTTATTAACATACCGTTAACATTAAGGATAAATAATATAGAGCCTAGTATAATTACTTACAGATTATCTAAAATAGCTAAACTTAAGGATATTCTGATTATATAGGTTTGTATTTAGACTAAGTACCTCTAGTAATAGGCCTAATAAGGTACGCTATATTCTTTCTTAAGGATATTATTTAATCAGCTAAAAAGCTGCCCCTCCTACCTAGAAATTCAAATATTATTATACTAAGGCACTCTACTATAAATGATACTGATAGTATAGATAAAAAGGTTGCTTAATCTAACTTACCCGAGACTTTACCATATAAAAAGACGTATTTCGTAGTTAGCTATAGTACTATAGAGCAAACTATCTAGGCTACTATATTATTATTATATACTAGAAGCGCGTTAATCAACTCGCTAAGAGTTTTAGTATTATTAACTAAGTAAGTAGTATAGTATATGAAGACCTCTAAAACGTATAGGAAGTAGTAGTCTTAGTATAAAGTGCGAGCCCTTAGGTAGTCTCTAGGAGATCTATAGTATTATATACGTACGTTACGTACTTAAATTACGTATAATAGGGTTATATACAGTAGTGTATTACTGCCCCTAAAAAGGACTACGGTATGCCGTTCCTTTTCCTCTATAGAGCATCATAATTAGCTAGTCTTCCTTCTATATCGTACTTACTATATTAATACTATAAGACTCCTATATATACGTTACTCTCCTATAGTAATAAGGATAATTAATACTATAGTGTCCTTAAATAGTAGTATACTCTAGTATAGGCCCTTCTCTAGAGGACCTACTAAGTACGATAGAATAGATATATCTCTAGCTATAAGCGATAGAAGTCGCCCTTAAAGATATATAATATACTCCCTCTACCTCGGCTCCGACTCTATAGTTATTTGCTTGTCCTATAGTAGAGAATACTCTACTGGATATAGAGCTATTAAGCTAGTTAATTAGTATATAATTGATATAATAACTACTTGCTCTAATAATATAATCGTAATTTATTAGAGAAATATTAGGACCCTAAGATTAGAAACCGGTATATTACTTAATATAGTTAAGAAGCTTTTATTACGTACGCCCCACCTCGGAACCTTTGCTTATTTAGAAGAAACTAACTGATCTATAATATCGAGCGGAAAGTAAGAAAAGAGTAAGGGTTCTACTACTGATACCCTAACTTTAGCTCGTTCTTATATACTATCTTTGAATAAAGTTAATACTAATAGAAATATAGTTATAGCTTTGACCCGCTCTTTTAGACTCTAACTAAATATAAATCAGTACTGTCTTAGTCCGTTCCGGAGCGTCTCGGCTTAGTCTTGTCCTAATCGTATTATAGATTCCTAAGTCGTTTAAGGAGATAATCGACTTTAGTAACAGTAAGCGTTTAGCTAACGACCTAGATACTACCCCGCCTATTCTAAGTCGGTAATACGTATCCCTTATATCTAGCTTAGTAAAGATCTTTGCTCTAGACAATTATTCTAGGGATTCCTAGATTAGTAGTAGAGAGTACCTGTTTTCAACTATAACGGTATTTAGGCTATAGTAATATAGAGTCTAAGGTCTCTGTCCTTTTCCTTTACGAAAAGGATACCTACGCTAGCTAGGGAGCGGGAAGGTCTAATCTAGCCCCTTTCTAAGTATTCTTTAAGGTATGTCCGGAGAACCTCTAGTTCTGCCTTAGAGAGGTTATAGAGCAGGCTCTCTAGGGGCATTTTACCCTTTTCAAGCTTAATTCTAAGCTCAAATAGCCTATAATTAGCTAGAATAGATATATTCTAGCTCGAGAAGACAGACGTATACTAGTAGTATACCCCGGGCAACCCTTCTAGATCTTTATCTATCCTATCGATTAGCGATAGGGACATTGCGTACAAAACTATACTTAGATCGGCGAGCTTAGCATATATCCGTTCTAGGCTAATTATAGTTATCTAAGACTATTTAGGTCTATTCTTCTTCTTCTAAGCGAGTATCTTAGCTAAGAAGTTTACTAAGGGGTTCTACTATTCTAACTACAGTATTTTAAGGATTATTTCGAACCTATAGATCCTTCTAATAGACCTATCGCTAGCCAAAACCTTAAAGGGGACTTTTATATACCCCGAGACCGCTAGAATCTAGCTATTTAAGGTTTTATACTTCGCCAATACCCCTCGATTAAGGATATAGCCTATTTCCTTAGCTACTACTCTATCTAGGAAATTTATCTAGATACTATAATCTACTAGGATATAGACCTTTCGAGGTCCTGTCGGCCCTTCTAAGGTTACTTCGACCCTAATTAAGCTATATAGTCCGGCTTTAGTTGCCTAGCGGCCGTATAGTTCTACTAGGCGTTATTACTCCTCTAAGTACGTTACTTATCCCGCTACCTGTAGTACTAGGAGGTAGAGCTATCTTTTAGAGAGCCCTTATTCTCCTAGCTAGCCTTATTAGGACGTTCCGGCCGTTTATAGCCTGTTTCGCTATATCTATAGTACCTAGGTAGTAGTCTAGTATCTCTAGGTCGGCTTAGTTACTCTAATAACGGGGGTTAACCTATCTTAGAGTAACTTTAGGATCTATTTATATAATTAGTATTTTTACTAGTAGTATCCGACTATCTACGCTTGTTATCCCTACTCTAATTATCTCTTATTAGCTATATCGTCTACTCTATTGATCTGTAGAATAGTATAAAGTATCTTCACTTAGAGTAATATAACGTACTTCGTAGTTTGTATCCCTATCTTCAATTGATTACTGCGCTAGAAATACGTTGCCTATATAAAGGCAAAATCGATAGACTACGTATTTAGAGCATAGTTCTATAGAGGATCGCTTCTACTACCTAAAAGGGACTACAGTGCTTAATCTAAGGATACCCTTAGCTATAGTATACTATATATAAGCGGTAATGTACCTAGTCTATATATCCTTCTGCCTACTAGTATCTTAACTATTCGATTGAATACTAGTCTAAAGAAATTCTACTTGTTAAATCGTTAATAATATAGTATATAATCTACCTAGGAAGATAAAGCTTTAAAGCTAGCGACTAAGACTACGCTGTATTAAGACTATAGAAGTATGTACTATTACGGTCCTAGATACAGATACTAAGTCATATAAAGCGTAGCCGTATATTCTATCTACTACCTATTATTAAAAGTATAGAGAATTCCCTTCCTCCTATTAGTCAGTACGTTATATACGGACTAGGTATTGTTGCTAGAATACAAGGAACTTACCCAATCTAAACATAGTTAGGGGTAACCCTCAGGTTATGTTAGGAAACATAATCCTAGAGGATACTCTAGAAACCTCTAGAGATTACTATAGAACAATTCCTAGAGTATCTAGAGACTTCTAGAGGTAACTAAAAAGTACTTTCTAGAGTATACTACTCGAAAACAACGTCTAGAAATCCATAGAATGTACTATAGATCTTCTAGGATATCACCTGAGGGCTCGCCCTTTATTATACCCCTCTCTTCCTCCCTCCGCCCTAAAACAGTAGGGGTATATATAAAAGTAGGCTCGTTAACTCGTCGAAAGCGTCGGAGGTACCTCCTTCTCTGTCGCGATGTGCTTCTCTATTTACTTAGAAATAAATCTATTTACTTAATAGCGGAAAACGCCGGCCTAAGAACGATATCCCTATAATCTAGTTAATAAGAGGTCTAGCTTGAATTTCCTATTATTGATTGCCGCTCGTATTATAAGAGAGTACTTTTCTTTAGAAAATTCTTCTTCTCTTCTTCTATCTATATTAGTAGTAGTAGTAGTAGTAGTAGTAGTAGTAGTAGTAGTAGTAGTAGTAGTAGTAGTAGTAGTAGTAGTAGTAGTAGTAGTAGTAGTAGTAGTAGTAGTAATAATCCCTTCTATAGCTGCTATACCCCTGCCTACTCTACTATCCCTATTACTAATACCGCCGCTACCGCTAACAGCGATAGCAAGTTCCTTTTTAACTAGCCTTTAGCCCTTTCTTAGTAGACTATAGTAGTTTGTAACTATTATATAGGGCGTTAATTAAGTCGATCAATCTATAAGTTCCTTATCCCGATCCTTTTTAGCCGGAATATACTAACTTCTATAGACCCCTTGTACTAACGCTTATATTGTTTATAGAGCTAAATACAAAAGGTACTAAGATTTATAGGTTAAGCCTAATCCGGCCGAAATCGAACAGAGTCCTAACTAATAGCTTTATAGCCTATAACTCGCCTAAGCTCTATCTATTTTCGACTAGCTAACAATTCTTCTAGAACATAGGTATTCAATAGTCTACCCTCGGTATTAAAGGCTATGAAGGCGTTAAAATTGGTTAAGTCCTCGACCCTTTTCTTCCCGCCTATCGCTCTTTAGTTAAGTACCTCGATAGCGTACGCTATCGCTTTATAGCTATAGACCGCTATAGTTGTACCGGCTTTCGTTTTAGGTCTTCGTCGCTCTTCTCCTCCTTAAGAAGCTCCCTTAAGGCCCCAATTCTAATAGTGTCCTTAACTAAGGGTTTTTATATATAGCGGGAGCAAAAGTTTTATATAGCGGGAGGCCTCTTAGGGTCAACCCTAAATTCTAGGCCTCAGGCATTTCTATACAATACCAACAGCACTTCATCTATTCAAACACATATATACGCGCGCGCGGTCGCAGTATATAGTATAGCGTACTACCGATATTACGAACGCGGCGACGTATTACGGACGCGGCGACGTATTACGGACGCGGCGACGTATATAAGACAGACGCGAGATTAGCCAATAGGGAGGTAGAGAGATACTATTGATTGTAATAGGTAATAGAGCGCGGCAATCGCGTTTTTAGCGTAGAACAGACATGTTAAGAAAGTTCTTCGCAAGTAGAGAAGTATACCTAAGACCTTACTGCCTAAGGCATTTAGGGTTAACCCTAAGAGGCCTCCCGCTATATAAAAGAACGCCTCCCGCTATATGTAAAAGCCCTTAGCTAGTTAGCTAATTATCCAACTCGCCGCTAAAGCAATAAACAAAATAGTTAGTAGGCGTAACTAGGGTACGTAGGAAGTATATTACTTATTGCTTAGACTTTACCTATAGAAGGGTACTTATATTGTCTTATTAGTAGACTGCCGGCTTCTATCTAACTAGGGTCGGAATCTCGTCCTTAATAACGATAAAGAAGCCCTCCCCCCTAAGAAGATTTTAGAAAAGGTAAATTATACTAGATAAAGTACCTTAAGCGCGCTCTATACTATAGGGACATTACCTTCTTTACTGCCTTAACGGAATACAACTTAATTGGCCCTAAGATAAGAGCTTTTACTAGAGGTACTATACGCCTGTTAAGTTATTTTCCTAAATATAGGAATAACCTACTCGAGTCTATATATAAAGACTACTGCCGAACCTAGATCCTTCTACTAGAAGGCCTATAGCGTACCTATCCTATGCTCCTAGTAATTTTGCTTAATAGATAGACAACCCCTATACCTTTAATCGATATTCTAATACCTATCGTTAGTATCGCTAAAACTATTCTTATTACCCGGATATCTCTCTTGTACCTCTATACAAGCTATTTCCCGAAGCCTAGGCTCGTATTAACGTAGAGAATTTTAAAGAGTAGTTAGTATAAGAGGACAAAAACCCTATATATTAGGGTAATCTTAATAACGCTCGAATTTTGCAGAACGATATCCTCGGCAACTGCTAGATAGATATCAACGCCGATAAGATACTATTCGTTAGCAAGTATGTATAGTAGTAGCCTACTATTTACAACTATCCTAGTAGAGACTACTAGAAAGAAGAGATTACTACTAATCCTATAGAACTTCGTATAGATTTATAGTTAACAGTTTAGAAGGATCTATTGAATTCGTAACAACGCCTCCTCTATAATATTGTTATTCGTTACTTTAAGGATATTGTTGTAGGTAGAAACCTACTATAGCTTCTACTTAATATTAATAGACATACTAGAACCGGTAAATCTTATATAATTAAGCTTGTGTTAGTATACCTTTAGACTATTACTAAGAAGGCAACCTATAGGGTACCTATTCTCTAATTAGTACTAACTAGGGTAGCTATATATACTATTAATAACGAAACCCTATATAAATTGCTTAGGCTACCTACTTATAGTAATTTTGAAGAGCTATTACTAGCTACCCTTTAGAGTATATAGGCCGATCTCGAGGGTATTAGCTATTTTATTATTAATAAGAAATTAATGATTAGCGTTACTTAATTAAAGATAATCAAGTTGTGCCTATTATAAGCGGTCTCTAGTAGTAGCCTATTCGGTAGTATAAGTATTATGCTCTATAGAGAATTCTTCTAATTACTACCTATATCTAGTAGTCTACTATTTAGAATCCCTATAGATACTAAACTTATAGAAATTGTAGGATAGTAAGTATACTACGCCTTCTATTAAATACTCGAATTAACTTATCTTATATAGTAGTAAGGTAATAGACAACTCGTATCGTATTCTGTAGTATACTC